GTCCCGCGGAGTGCGGCTTCGCCCGCCTTTCCTCCCGCGGCCCCTCCGGGCTCATCACAGGCGGCCCCCCTCCCTGCCCTGCAGCGGCCCCTAAAGAGAGCACCCCCTTGGCTCAGCAGAGCTTACTGAGTGCTTCCTGTTTACTCGGGAATTGAAATTGGTTGACGTCTAAAGCACGAAGGCCAACGAAGAAGGCTGTCTAGTGTAAAAAAGAATTGTGTAAAACCAGGGCTTGTGTGTGTGAGTTTCCCCTGAGCTGGGAGTTATGATAATGGGGGCGAGAGCAGATTTCGATGGGGCCCTAGCTGAGCCATAAGGGCAGGGGTGGTAGAAGGAGAGAGGGTCGCTGCCTGGATGAGGGTCCCGTCCTCACTCCTGGAAGCCAAGGAATATCCAGTTTCCTGATAGAGCCGCTCCACGTGCCCCGAGGCACGAGGCCTAGGATGTCCATGTCAGGGTCCCTGTGTGTCCCCTCTGTGTGCCCCTCTGGGGAACTGGCAAAGACTTACTTAAATCCCCTTCAATTTGAATTAGGTTGGTCTGGGGAGGGAGGGGCCTATGGGTCTACATTTTGATAAAGCTCTCCAAGTCATTCCAACAAGCCTTTCTGGGTAGGAAACCTTGAAATGAGTGAGGGAGCAGAGTTCAACACCAGAGCACAGAACTCAGGGTAAATAGGCATGGGTTTGAATCCTGGCTGTGCTACCTGTGATCTGTGTGACCTTGGGAAAGTTACTTAACTTCTCTGAGCCTTGGTTACCTCTTCTGTAAAAAAGAACGAATGTACCCACATTTTAGGAAAATTAGTATTTGGAAACTTCTTACAACAGCCCTGGCATGTAAGGATATACAAATAAATTTCAATCCTTGCCCTGAAGACAGTGGGCAAAGTTATTTGAAGGCTCTGCACTGTGTAACTCCTCTTTGGGGCAGTGGCCTTTGAGCGTTTTTAGTTGTATGGTTTGGGGGCAAATCTCCTGTCTCTTCTGCCCTTTAAACTTGGTCTGAGGTCGCCAAGTGCCGCCCCTCCCCTCTCAGCTGAGATGTGGGCTGCACTCATGGCAGAAGGTGGAATGGGGAGCAGTAGGTGTGTCATGGGTCCAGGCTTCCTGCCCCAGGAGATCCCTCAGCAAAGCTTTTGCCTTCAGAGCCTGCAAATCAGGACTTGTCCCCAGGAAAAGCCAGTCCCTGCCAATTTCGTGCAGCCGCTCAGCCCTGGAGTCAGGCCAGAGCAGGGCAGGGAGTGCCGGTGCTCCCTGAAGTGGGAGGAGAGGAACCGGGGAGACCGGCCGCCTTTAATTTTCTTTGCCTGCAGAACGGGTTCCTTGGGTGCAGACAACATGGGGCAGGGGCTTCAGGGCCGTCTAGACTCCAGTCACCATGGGCCTGGCAGGATGTGGCTCAGCCTGGGAGAAATCACGGCTCTCCCCTGCCCAGCCCAGCTCCTCCTCAGCCCCAGGCCACTCGCCGATGACAGCTCCGTGAAAGGCCCAGCCGACAGCACCTGTCAGCTGCTGTCTGGGTGGAGGCTCAGCCAGAGCTGAAGGCAGAGAGAAACAATAATACTTCTGTTTTCCAAGCACTTCTGTATACCAGGTGCTGCTCTAAGCACATTCTCTACTCAGTTAATCCTCACACCTGTCCTCTGAGATGTTTACTATTATTGTCTCCATTTTACAGATGAGGAAAATAGAGCCCAGAGAAGTTAAGCCATTTGTCCAGGGTCAACCAGCAGAGCCTGGATTCCCACCCAGGCAGTCCTGCTCCATAGCCCTCGCTCTTAACCATGAGATACAGCCTGCCAGCTCTCTGCCATCCGTCCTGCCTAGAAAGACTCTCTGGCCATTTGCTTTATCATGCTTCAACGGCCACCCTCTTTAAACTTCCATAGAGCCGGTTTTACAGTTGAGGAAACGGAGGCCCAGAACCATTAAGTGACTTATTTAAAGCTCAGATAGTAAGCAGCAAAGGTAGGCCTAGATCCCAGGTGTTTTCCTCCAAAAGTCCAGGGTCCTTTGAAGTGTTAGAGCGGGGTTATCCCACATGGGCATCCGGGAAGGGACTGAGGAGGCTGGAGGAGCTGGGTCAGCCTGTCCATTCATTGGGGAACCGACCTCCTGGCCAAGGCTGGGGAACTGGACTCAAAATTCACACGTACTTGGGGCATTCACACCCATGAGGGACACCTCAGGGGGGAAAGTAAATTGATTTTAGCTGATAATACCGGGTGGTAAACAGGCCCTTGATCCCTGACATTGCAATAAACTTTGTTGACATAAGCTTGCCCTTCAGCTGCCCGCTCTCCCAGTCACCCTGGGGTTCCATGCTGGCTGAGCTCTGCCCCCACCCAGTGTCTGTTGGTAGGAGGTTGGGGCCCTGTGGGAAGGAGGTGGTGGAAAAGCAGCTGGAAGGAGTCACAGTCACCCTCCCACCTCCTGTTCTCGTAGGAAGACCTCCCCCGAGCAAAGCCCGGCCCGTTTCCCTAGTGACCAGGGTGTTTCTGTCTCTCAGCTGCAGGCACCATGTCCGAGCCATCCCGGGATGCCCGCCCGATCCCCCGCGGCAGCAGGGCCTGCCGTCGCCTGTTCGGCCCCGTGGACAGTGAGCAGCTGCAGCGAGACTGCGACGCTCTGATGGCCAGCTGCGTGCAGGAGGCCTGTGATCGATGGAACTTCGACTTTGTCACCGAGACACCGCTGGAGGGTGACTTCGCCTGGGAGCGGGTGTGGAGCCTGGACCTGCCCAAGCCCTACCTGCCCTCAGCGCCGAGGAGGGCCCAGGACAGCCTGGGAAGAAGCAAGCGGTCCGGCAGCTCACCTGCCCTGCTGCAGGGGACAGCTCAGGAGGACCACGTGGACCTGTCACTGTCCTGCACCCTGGTGCCTCGCTCCCCTGAGCAGCCTGAGGGGTCCCCAGGTGGGCCGAGCACGTCTCAGGGCCGCAAACGGCGGCAGACCAGCATGACAGGTGAGGACAGATGCAGGGAATGACACTGCAGGGGACCACGACTCAGGATTTGTGGTGCAAGGGCTGACCGGTCTGGTCCAGCTTGCTCATTAGGAGGGGGAAACAGGCTCAGAGAGGGGAAGTAACTTGCCTGAGGTCACACAGCCAGGACCAGCTAGCTCTCCCTTATTCGGAACATTGATTGAATGCTAGCCCTTCACTGAATTTCTAGGGTGGATTTCACTTAGACCTTGTAGCAATCCATGTGACATTCTTGCCACCCTTTTACAGGCAGGGCAAAGGTTCAGAGATGTAGGTTTTCCTAAAGACCCACAGTGAATTTGCCATGAAGAGGAAACGAATGATAGTAATTTCCTGGCTGCTCTGTCCAAACTAAACTCCCCTTCCCCCTGTCACACACACACACACACACACACACTTCCGGTCCCTCTGCCCCGCCTATTTTGTTCTCTTGGTAATTTTTACTGTCAATAGCCATTTCTTTATTTTGATATTGTCTGTCTCCCCAACTAGGATATTATCTCCACGAGAAACGGATCTGTGTCTCTCTTGTTCATGGCTGAATCCCTAGCACCTAGAATGGTGTCTGCCACACAGTAGGCGCTTGATAAATAATGAATGAGCCATGTTGCCGTTAAGCACCTAGTAGGCCGGGCCTGGACCAAAGCCGTACAGAGAGCGTTCCCTTTCATCCTCAGAGCAGCATAGCGGCGTTGCCCGCGTTTACAGGCGCGGACACTGAGGCTCCGTGAGATGCAGCCAGGAGTCCCACCGCAGACCTGCAGCTGGGTCGGAACTAACAGGAAGGATAATGACAGCAGCTAGTGTTACACGGCCCAGGCGCTGTGCAGAGCCCTTCCCGGGTGACCTGAAGGTGTGCGTAGAGCAGGGTGTCCCAGCGCTCGGAGGCACATGCAGTGCGCCAGCCACCAGCGCTGCTGAGCTCCTGACACGTGGCTAGTGTGACTGAGGAAGGGAACTTTCCATTTCATTTGGTTTTAGTTCATTTAAATAACCACATAGGCCTGGTGGCCACGGTTTGGGGCAGCTTGGGTTAGAGCAGGCCCAGGGATCCGGCCCCATTGTCACTCACGTCTGTGAAGGGGGCCGCTGGGTGAACGCCCTGGGAGGTGGGGGGGAGGTGCCGGAGTTCTTCCCTGTACAGTACTTGGCAGCGTGGGCGGGGTCGTGGCCCCTCTGCCGTTGGCCTGGTTGGGTGGCTCTCGGTGGCCTCTCTCTCTCTCCTGGCCTGGCTGACCTCTGCTCTCTCCCCTTAGATTTTTATCACTCCAAACGCCGGCTGATCTTCTCCAAGAGGAGGCCCTAACCGCCCACGGGAAGCCTCCCGCTCCTGGAAACACAGCCTCCCGCAGGCCCGCTCTACACCTTGCGCCTCAGTCCTTCCGTTTGTGTGTCTTAATTATTGTGTCTGTTTTAATTTAAACTCCTCCTCATGTACATAGCCTGATCGCCACCACCTTCCCACCCCGCCCGCTGCTGGCATTAGAATTATTTAAAGAAAACAGACAGCGGAATGATAGGCCTATTGGATTGCCAGGCATTTTTATTATGCAAACTACATATTATTTAAAACCTCCTCATCCTACACTCACTATTTCTTCTCTCCCGGAGGTAAGGTGGGGCCGGCCTGACCCTCATCTGCTGGGTGGTGCTCGGGAGGGGCCTGGTTCCCTCTGTTCCCTACTTCAAGGACCGTATGAAATTCTGCTCCTTTCCTTCACTCTCAGACCCAGTTCCTTACCCCGAGAGAAGTAAAGAGATAGCACTTTGAAGGGGCCCAGCAGCATGGGGGGGGGGTGTCATCCAAACATTGGAGTCCCCTCGCCTCCTCTAAGGGTGGGCAGGGTCACCTTGAAGTGGCCACGCTGGAACAGGGGTGGGGACTGGCACCCTCCCGGCCCCTGCTACCCACTCTGCCCTGTGAGGGCCAGAGGAGGCAGGATCCCGCAGCAAAGCACCAGCCTCCCTCACACCCTTTCCTGCCCAGGCGCCCCGATTTTCCAGCCCAAGTCCCTCTCTGCTTCTCCCCTCCCCCTCTATCCTCTCCCAGCCCTGGGCAGCTGCTCTGGGGTGCCTGTGCCCCCAACTCAATGGACTGAAGGGCAGGGTCTACCTCAGGCAGCTGGAGCAGTGGGTGCCCCTTCTCTCCGCCCTGGGGGCAGGGTCTGGGTGGTCCGCAGGCCTCCGGGAGTGGCCATCTCTCTGAGAGGGATGTGTGGGTGGGGGAAGCAGATGTTTCTAGGAGGGAGTGACACCTGCCCCTGGAACTCATCCCAGGGTCTCCCCCTCTGCTCCACCCTCTCCCATTCATTGCACTTTGAAAAGCAGCTGAGCAAGGAGTCAGGTGTTTTAAACGGTGGGAGTGAGGCTGTGGATCGGCTCACAAGCGGGCTGACAGCGGGCCTGCGAGTTGTGTTATCTCTCCTGGTGCTGCACGCTGAGCCCCCAGAGGCACCCAAGCACTTAGTGGGTCTGCCCCAACCCCTCGCACCCCATGTAACATCCTGTCCTGGACTGTATTCTCCTGTCTTTACTAGACTGTACACCTCTACAGGGCAGGGGCCACATCCTGTATGGCTCTGTGTCCCTCACAGCCCCCCCCTCCCCATCCCCCAGTGCTGGATATACAGCAGGTGCTCAATAAATATTTCTTGGAAACTTTACTTGTAAATATACCTTGTTATTTTTAAGAATAAGTAGGCGGAGGTGGTGTGGGCTTTTTTTTTGTGGTTGTTTTTATCATTTAAAAAATGAAGCATTTAAATTAAAAAAATGCAAAAAGCTTAGCAAAAGAAGGATTATCAGGCAGAAAAGAGACAAACAAGAACAAAATTTAAAAAGTAAATCATCACACCTCTGCAAAGATCACCACTGTCAATATTTTGGTTTGCTGTGTGGTCTTCTTTAGTAAAGGACATATTGTAGCTTAACACCATTACTCATTGGGGAAATGCAAATAAAACCACAATAAGATACCACTAGGCACCTACCGGAATGACTACGATGAAAAAGGCTGACAATGCAAAGTGTTAACAAGGGGCCTGGCCAGTGTGGCTCCGTGGGTGAGGCTGACCCATGAAGCAGGAGGTTTGATTACCAGTCAGGGTACATACATGCCTGGGTTGTGGGCTTGACCCCCAGTAGGAGGAATGCAGGAGGCAGCTGATCAATGATTCTCATTATTTATGTCTCTCTCTCACCCTCTTCCTCTCTGAAACCAATAAAAACATTTCTTTTTTAAAAAGTACAATGTGTTGACAAGGGTAACTGGAACTCGTATTCCTCGCTGGTGGAAATATATTTCAACTACTTTGGAAAACTAGCAATATCTTCTACAGATTCCTCCCCTCCTGCCTTACCTCATGACCCAGGAATTCTAATCCTGTGTTTGTTCTCAAGAGAAATGAGTACAGATTTCCACCAAAAGATATGGCCATGGCAACATCATTCTTAACAGACCCCAACTGGAAACAACCTAAATGCTCATAACAGGAGAGTAGCTACGTCAATTGTGTATCTTTCTATAGTGGAATACTATACAACATTAAAAAAAACACAAAGTATTTTTACATGTGTGCTCTGATTATCTATATACTAGTGACCCGGATTCGTGCACATTGAAAGGATATTAATTAGAAGGTGGCCCGTGGGGTGGGACTGGGCAAGATGGGCTGGACACGCCCTAGAGCAGTGATGGCGAACCTATGACACGCGTGTCAGAGGTGACACGCGTGTCAGAGGTGACACGCGAACTCATTTTTTTGGTTGATTTTTCTTTGTTAAATGACATTGAAATAAATAAAATAAATATCGAAAATATAAGTCTTTGTTTTACTATGGTTGCAAATATCAAAAACTTTCTATATGTGACACGGCACCAGAGTTAAGTTAGGGTTTTTCAAAATGCTGACACGCCGAGCTCGAAAGGTTCACCATCACTGGCCTAGAGCCAACCTCCCGCAGTCCCTCACCAGCGTCTGCGGAGTGAGTGGGGTCCCTCCAGCAGGTGGGGTCCCTCAGCCTGGCTTGCAGGGATCGGGCCGAAACCGGCTCTCCGACATCCCCCGAGGGGTCCCGGAGCGCAAGGGGGCACTCTGCAAAGTTGCTGTGGTACAGGGTGTGGAATGCACGGGGCACTGCTCCTCATCCCTGGGCAATCAGGCTGGCACATGAACAAGGCCGTCTGCAATGGCAGGGTCACAAAACAGCAACAGCCAACAGTGATCATCATCTGCCTCACATGGCTGCAAATGTTTCATATGGTTTATAGCAGGGGTCCTCAAACTACGGCCCGCGGGCCACATGCAAATACAAATATTGTATTCGTTCTCGTTTTTTTTTTTTACTTCAAAATAAGGTATGTGCAGTGTGCATAGGAATTTGTTCATAGTTTTTTGTTTTTTTAACTATAGTCCAGCCCTTCAATGGTCTGAGGGACAGTGAACTGGCCCCCCGTTTAAAAAGTTTGAGGACCCCTGGTTTATAGCATGGAGTCCTTACAATATGCCCACTAGGAGGGCACTGCTATCGTCTCGATCTACAGATGAGAAACGTCAGTCACTCGTCTGAGGTCACAGACCTAGGGGGTGGTGGGAGCCAGGACACCCCCCCTGATGGCCCGGGTCACGCCACCTGCTCCATCGCCCAGAAAGGGCAGTGCCTCGCCCAGGGCCGCACCGCCGTGACGATTCTAAGAGGAGGCTCTCGGGGACCTGTCTCCTCCTGCGGCTGCCGTGGTTTGGGATGTAACTCAGGTTTTCTCAGTCTTATGTAAAGCGTGCTCTATAAACGCAACTTCAAAATGGACTCCCTGGCCCGGGTTCCGCTGCGTGGCCAGCCCCCCCGACCTCCTGCTGTGGCTCAGAGCCAGCAGCTGGAGGCAGGGGGCCCAGGTCTCCAGGTTTGCACCCAGCTTTTGCCACCAAACCCCAGAACAGGGAGTATCTTGCTTCAGGCTTCACTAGAGTGTGAAGTAGTTCAAGCATCTTTAGGGACTTGAAAATTCGTGAGTGCGAAAACTTATTCATTTATAAAACGGCCTCATTATTCGTTAATTCAGTTTTTGTAAAATGCACCTTCTCAGCTCAGAGTTTTCGGTCCAGGGACACTGTATTTTATTTTATTATTTTATTATTTTTTTAATATATATTTTATTGATTTTTTACAGAGAGGAAGG